ATATATCATTTATATCACTAAACTCTCTAAAACCTAATCTTTAGCAGATTTATCGGGTGACTTGTTGCTTGAAAATATTTGGTTGGATTAAATTTCTACTACTACTACTATCTAGAAAAAACTAAATACCCTTTATTGAATCTTCAATCCTTCTAGATCCCTTCCAACTAACATGCTATAGTGAACTTGCTAGTTACAAAAAAAAAAGAAGTACACCTTTCTTTTAATTCTGATAATTATGATCTATTATCAATATCAAGTGTATTCAGAGAAAAAGTGTAAGTTTGATAGTATTTTTTGTATCATACAAGGGTGAAAACCCCATTTGAATCAGAATGAAAAAACTTCAAAATAATTTTGAAATAAAATAATAATTGTGTCTTTGTAAGTAGTGTAAATTCTTGAAGTTCCATTTCAATATAAGAGGTACTTATTTTATAGCTATGATACTTTTAAAGAGTAATAAGAGAGAGGAGATCACAGTTTATATGATGTTTATCCACTCATATCTCTAGAATATAACTTATAATAGACTTAAGGTTCTTATAAAGCTTAGGAAATGTATTCATATTATATGTAACAGTTATATTTTATCCTTCTTGTTTACTTTTTCTTTTCAAAAACTCTCTATCTAAAAAGTTAATGGCAAGAAAGTTTTCTAGAAAAAAGAAATCAGACAAAAAAATATATTACTTCTCTTCCCTATAAAGGTTCCAAAGTATAGGAAAAAATGTGGGCTGATAACTTTATGCCAACCTAGGAAACTTATATTACTTTTATATATAAAAATGGCTTTTCTCTTAATGTATAATAGTTTTTTCTTGGTTTTTCTAAAGAATTTTGTCTACCCTAGCTTGATTCTTAATTTTTTGTTATACTGGATTTTGAACAAGTTGATTGGTTGAAGATTGGAATTGATTATTTAATAATTAGCAAAAATATAAATAAAGATATATACAATAACTCACAAAAGTCTTGCACTACCTATCAATTTTTATTAATAAATATATATAAAAATAAAAAATTTTAAAATTATTAAAATTAAAATTTTTGTTAATAAATATTAATTTATTTTATTTTAATAAAAAATTCATATTATAAAATAATCAAAATTTTTTAAATTATATATTATATATAAAAATTTATTTATTTATTTATTTTTAAATCACAACTGATATTAAATGCGAGCACTTTTATTAAGAATTTGTTTAACATTAGGGATATTAAGATTCTAGATATTGATATCAATCATCTTATATAAACTATATATTTCCATATACATATAAATTAATGATAAATGGTGAAACAGAGTAATCTAGTAGTAAGTTTTTATAAATTTTTGTATTATTATTATTATTATTATTTTTTTAACCCATAATCATGTCACAATAGTATGTCTTTATTGAAAAATTGAAAATGAATTTACAATATTTTACAGACTTTTACAAAGTAACTAACTCATCTTCATACAAAAGTACTCTAAGTCAGATTTTGGAAATAATATTTCACTCCCCTAATAGATTGGTAATAACCTCTATTTACTAGAATAATTGCTAATAGTTTGTCACTGTTGATTGCCCGAAAACTAATAAATTGCTAAGTTAAAAAAGAGAAAAGAAAAAAAATTAATAGTATCATATATTTTTGCTGTATTTTGAAAAAGTATCAATAACTTCTTTTTATTTTCTTTGCTTCCTTACAAATGTTATTGAGAATTTGGATTAGTTCTGCTATACTTTCTCCTGATAATCCTGCATAATTAGGTTCTCTTAGAATATTATTGATCTTGCAGATATTTTTTAATCTGTTTGTGAGAATCTTGGTGAAGTATTTTTATGTGATTTCTAGCAATGCTATTGATCTAGTATTAAAAAGTTCATATTTCCATAGTTTTGACTTTGCTATAGAGTATATATGGCTTTGCTTCTATTCTATGGAAATAACTTCCTACCTGAGAAAGCAGTTAAGCATTTTTCTAAAATATTATTTTCCTTCTTAATTCAATCTTTTTAATATTTTATAGTTGATTTAAGATCTTCCTAGAGCTTTATTATTGAGAAGTTCTTAAAGTATTTCATGTAATTCTTTTTGAAAGATTGGTTTTAGTAGATCTTTGTATCACCTTTTTTTAATATAGCTTTTATGATTGTATTTTTCTTTCCAATTTTCTGTAAGGCTGTCAAAATTGACATTTCATTTTTTGAATGCTTCATAATGATATCTCTTTATTTGCCTTTCAATTTCTCCCTTCTTAATAGTTATACAGTATATTCTTTTTCTTCATTTTTAACCTTGATCCTGTCCAGCATTATTTTGATCTACTTTCTATTAGTTAAGGAGTTTATCATTTTTTTTTTAATTGCTACATTTAATAAGTTATCATATCTCTATTCCAAGACTTTTTTGATAGCATTCCTTGTTTTTTTTTGTCTCTGTGTTTTAATAAGTGAGTTTTAGGCTTTTTATTGTATCCTATATATTCTTTTTTAAGAGTTTTTATGAAATTTGAGAAATGTTATATTGGATGCAATAGTTTTCAATTTGATAATTAAAACTGAAAATAGTTTTGTATTTTCTAATTGCTATATTAAGGGCTTGTAATTTGATTAAATCATGTATATTTTCTGCCTTCTTAAAGAGTGTAAATAGCTGAAAGGTCCTCTGATACTTTATAAATTCGAGTCTATGCCTATGATATTCTTCCTGGAAAGCAGCTAACTTCTTGGATGCAAACTTGTTATATGCTATTCTACATATTTATTCTTTAAATATTTCTCAAATACTTGTTTGCTTAAGCTTCTTTTTTATCTTTTTTAGACTCTTTTTTAAATAATAAATCTATTGCCATTTTAAGTTTGTGATTCAAGCTTCTATTGAATACCTTCCACTGCTCAGGTGTTGACCCTTTCATATTAATTCTTTGTTCACTCTTTGTGAAAGATGTGTTTTTGATATCTCTTGTAAAGAGATTGACATCATGCATTGTTAACACTAGTATAATATAATCACTTTCTATTGTTTTCTCCATACTTTAATTGTTGAATCCGAGTATTGGATAGTTTGTAAGGCTTGAGATATTTATATATAATTAATCTGACTACTACTAGTAGTGTCCTATCTTGTTGGAGTTTTATCTTTTCCTTTTCATATAGCCTGTATAACAAGGAATAACCACTTATCTATAAAGTTGAATGTAATATTTCTGGATACCAATATAGTTTAAATTTGGTTTTAAATATTAATATCCTGTTTTTTGCAAGGTTATATGTAGCATTAAAGTCTTTTATTAATATTATGTAAAAGACTTGTATATTATTTTCTTTAATAAAGCTTTGTATTATTTTTTGCATTTTCTTGCTTCGCCATTTGTCTGAGAAAATATAAATCTGGATGATATACATCTTGTTTCAATTCATGAGTATATTAACTGCTATTATATATCCTTTTGCCTCTTCTATCAAAGCTATCTTTTTTTTCAAATCTTTTCTTATTAAGAGACTAATCCTTGCATCATATAGAGTATCTTTATTGTTACTGTGAAAATGCTTAAAAGTCATTTGATTTTAAAAGATCCATTTTACTTTTGTATAGATTAGTTTTGTTTCATATAGCCCCATTATTCCAATACCTTTTTCTTGCATTTCTTCTATAAGATTATACTAGTTTGTATTATCAGTAATACTTCTGATATTGTGTGTCTCTATTCTAATCACTCTTTTCTATATATCTTCCTCTTTTGTTTTTTCTACCTATTGGTTCTCTCTGTTTCTCTCTAGAAATTTATTTTTTTTCTATTTGCAAGAAAATATCAAGATTTTGATTATCTACTATTGTTTTTTTCTATTTATTATGCTTTGCTCTTATTTTGTATTTTGAATTTGAGAATAGCAGACTAATATTCCTTCTCTTTCTGTGGTTAGACTGGTGTACCCTTTTTAGAAACAGTTGACCCTCCTTTTGAGTGAATCTTTCTCTAGTTTATCTAGTTATTTGCTACACTTCTCTAATATTTTCTTAGATGAGCTACCTTTGACTCTTGTTTTGCAATTTATCTTAAGCTTCTTGTTTTCAATTTTATTGTTTGCCTTTGACATTACCTGATATCTAAAGCTTCATCATTTGTTTCTGAGAAATATTGTGAAACCTGATATGGGCTTGGTTTGTTTTCTGATGTCTTTACCTCCTTATTGCTCCCTATTACTACCAATTACTGATAATATAGACCTTATTGTACTTTTCCTGTTTTATGGCTAACTATTGTTACTTTTGCGTTTTGCTGCCGGTATAACTTCTTTTTCAGTTACCATAATATCTTTATTACTTTTTTTATTTTTACTTGTTCTATTTCAGTTTTTGATATCTTGCACCCTTGCTTCTTTAATCATTATATATGCATTGCCTGATCTGATCAGATCAGCTAACACCCTGTGATAATAATAATTCTTTGCACTTTGTCCTAGTCCTTGATTGTTGATCTTTATTTGATACTGAAGTGCCTCCCTTAGATCTTTTTCATTCTAAAAGTATACTACTGTGTAGTTTTCTAATATCAAAGTGATCTTGTTTTTTGATATATAAAAGATTTAGCCTTCATATGGTATAAGGTTTCCTCTATAGATTTTGTAGATAATCTATTAACTCTATAAAGTCCTAAGAAGTACCTCTTTCTCTTTTTTAGAATCTGAGTAATTTCTTGATCATCTTGTTTCTTGTAAACTATCACAGATTATACTTAATTGAATTTTATTTTGATTATCCATTTATTATCCAAGTTGATATATTTTTAATGAGCATAAAAGTTAACTTTAAACCTTTTTTGATAGAAAGATGTTCTATATTCATGCATATTGATAATCTCTTCAAATTCTTTCATTGTTTATTTAATCTTATGTTTGGCAAGCTTGTAATCTGTATTCATCAATGTAATATATTCTAACCTATTTTTGGCTAATGGAAAACTTTCTAGCTTGAAAAACTTTTTGTTCTGAGCATATCTTTGAAAGGCTAATCATATGCTCACAGCTTTATCCATTATCTTAAGTATAAAGTTTTCAGCTTCTTTTACATTAACAGCCTTCAGACATCTTGTTGCATTTTCTTCTTTATTAAAGTCAAATATAATACAATAGTTGCTATTGATAAATTTTATTTTGAAGGGATTCATTCTCTTAGGTATTTTTAGAGCTCTTTTGAAATATATAATTCACTCTTTCCAATTTTCTCCTGGTAACATGGCTCGAAGTACCTTCACCTTAATTGATCCCTGTTATTTTATAAAAATGGATTTACTATTGTTCCTTGAATCCTGTTTCTTGTATTATAAGATATGATATCTATAATACAGCTTCCCTGCACTATTTTTTTTAACACTTCTGTTTCTATTTATTCCATTACTACTATATCCTTCATTATAATTGCCTTAATGAAGTACATTTCTTTGTTTTTATGGAAGTTGGTTAAATTTCCATTGCGATACTTTCTATTATAGTAATTTTAACTTGGTCAAAACTTGATACCTATATTACTGACTTTCTTGTCAACATATTATACATCCTTTCTTCTAGTATAGGTGCTTCCAAATCTTTTTTTTTATCTTGCTCTTTTTTCCAGAGAGTGAGAATATATTGCTATAGCATATGTTCTTTTGCCAACACCAATGGATTTATTCTCAATAGATTGACAATAATATTATCTAATATCAACGAAACATGTATTAACTCAGTAGGAATGTGAAGTTGATTGGTTGCTATTGGTTTCAGCTCATGCTGTATTATTCTTGTTTCTTAAAGTACTTGCTGAGGATCTTAATGAGAAGCTATTTTTCTCAATACCTTTAATAGCTCCTTTCCCTTCTTTCTAGAATCCTGATTATTGTTTGTTCTTTCATTAATATATTGTTATATAGCACAAATAAATTAATATATGTTGTTATTATATGAGTGTCTTTTTAATCACATAATTAGATAAATACTATTATATAATAATTTTCCATTTGACATATATAGCAATAAGTTGCTATATTGATATTAAGGAGTCTATGACATATGACTTCTATATGTTTACATATTTTATATTTGTTTATTAACACATAATTGACTGTGATCAACTGTTGATCTTGTTTTAGATAATATGTGCTGGTAGATCACACACATTCTAGTTTGTTGATCTGTCATATCCCATTGTTTTATTACAGATTGATCAGCTTGCTTTAATACATATCAAGCAAGGGAAAAGTTAATGTGTTCATGTTTATGTGATATGAATTAGTTAATCTGGAATTGTTGTGTTATTGTGATCTTTTAATTGTTAGACCAAAAAAACTTGAACATCCTCCTGAATTTCAATTAGTCTTGAGATTATGCTGATTTATTAGTGAAATCTATTGCTTTTGAGACTTCTCTTAGTGCCTAAAAAGATATTAAACTGTACTACCTGACTAAGAGCTTTGTGGAGTTAAGGTTTAATTTCAAGAAGCCTATTGTAAATCAGCTTGTTTTTGCTTTTTCTCCTTCCTAAAAGCAAAAATAATCTAGGGATATTTGTCTTTTAAGTTGAACAAAACTCTTTTCTTATTGTTATAAAGTAAATTTTGTTGCCTTAAAATGTTTAGTTATATTCTCTAAGACTTACTTTTGTGTAAAAGGATCTTTTTAAGTTTTCCAAGAAAATTAACAAAAAAGAAATTTTTTGAAAAAATGTGAATCAGCAAAAAGAGTTTTTCAAAAATTATCTTTTCAGAATATCAACTATAATCATATATACAATATTTATTCTTCTTTTAGTAAAGTTTCTCAGATCAGTCTTACTTTCTTAAGTAAATGAATCTTTGTTTATTTAATTATATCAATTAATTCATTCTAATATTTGACAACTTTTTTTGACCTTCATTCAATAAATGACTGTATGCTTTTAATTCTTTGTACCCTTTTCTTAATTATTCTTAAAAATTAATACTTGAAGATAGTATAAATATAGAATATTATTAATCTTACTTTATTTAATTAATTATTTGTATATAAATAATGATTATACATTTCAAGTTTTCAATTTCAGCCTTTTGATATTTTCCTCTCTGATAGCAATATAAAGTATATAACTATTTGTTTATGTACTTTTATAAGAGATTAAAATATGATGCCATGAATTTAATTAATTCGAATATTAACTTTTGTAATATCTTTTATTCATATCACTTGAAAAAATTTCATTTACCTTCAATTTATATTCATCAGGAATGGTATTTATTAAGGTATTTATTTTTGCTCTCACTTCTTCTAGTTCTGGCTCATCTTTGATAACCGGTTTTACCAGTTTACTTCTTTATTACTTTTACTAGGTTGAATTTTTAGTGCTTTCCTAAACTCGACAAATTTTCCGATTCTGATATATTGATGATTTTAGATTCTATAACTACTATAGAATCAAGTCAGGTTTTACAGATTCGAGTCAATCAATTTTTTTTTTGAATCTTCTATTTTATTTTGATTTTTCAGAAAACTTGTTAATATATTCTATTAGGTCTGTTTTATAAATTTGATATTTTCTCTTTCTAGTTTTTTGATCTATATGTGTAATTCTTCATTTTTTAAATAAATCAGTTGATTAATAATAATAAATTTTAACAATTCAATAATAAATTAATTACAATTGTTTTTAGTATCCTCTTTGATTAGAGATTTAAGTGGCAATTCAACTTTTGGTATTGATATTTATGCAACTTCAGATATTAATATTTCTGGCAATACAATAGATGATCTTTTTTTAAAAAATTCAATTATTATAATAGGGATTAAAGATTTAGTATCAGGTGCTATTGAACAAACTGTTGTCATTTCTAATATAGTTAATATAAAGAAAGTTTGTGATAGTAGGAAAGGTTGTAAAGGTTGTGAAGATGAAGATGGCTGTTCTCTGTAAAAAGTGTATTCAGTTGATTTTTATTGTTCAAATATTTTAGATATCCATAAAAAAATATTAAATTAATAAAGAATTATTCAAATAAAATTATTCGTATTGTTTTAATACAATTTAGAACTATATATAATATTATACTATTATTTGTTATATTATATTACAATTCAAACCTACAAATCCATAGTATAGTAATTAGCATTCTGTATATCAGATCACAAGATGCAGGTTCAAATTCTTCAAGGGACTAATATGATTTCACTGAACTGGAAACAGGTAGAATTTGACAAATAATCTATTGACCTAACTGTATATAACTTATATTTCTGAGTATAGTTAGTGCAAATCAAGATGATCAATAATTTTTATTATATTATGTTAAAAATCAAGATCTCCATAATATAAAATAGTTTATACAAAGATTGTAATCAGGTCTCTATCTAAAATCAAATAGAATTATTCTTGATAGAATTGTTAATAACAAAAAGAGTAGATTCCTAAATTAGTCATATGTTGCTGAAAAAGAATTGATTGAAGATCTTATCTGATTTCAAGACTTTAAGCATGTGTCTATGCTTTGATCCATAAATTTAATAATCAGGAGGTCTTGGTGAAAGGAGAAATCTATGGACCACTTCAAAGGATCAAAAACTAGATCCAGGATAAAGAAAATTTGACAGCCTAATAATCAGACTACTTTTAATAAAAATGGTCTGAAAAAAATTAAGAAGGAATTACATAGTTTTCCAATGAGATATTGCTTATATATAGTTAGTAAATATATAGATAGTTACTCATATACAGTGTGTAACAAAACTTTTTAGAATTTTATTTATATAATATAAATGTATATAACTTTTTCAAAACAAAAGCAATTTACATGAAATTTTAAATATGTAAACATATTTTAACAAATACTGTATATATATATCGTTAAAATTTCTTACTTATTATATTTTTTTATAAACATATTTTTACAATATCATTTTCTAAAAAATATATATAACGTCAAACTATATTATATTTGTTAAAGAATGAAATTACTTCTGCAAATAAAATATATTCTAGAATTGGCATAAACATGTCAACTATTTATTACAATCTTAAAAAATTAAATTTTAAAGGAAATAAATAATTCAAGAAAATTAGGTGGAGGTCAATTTAAAAAAATTACTGTACATGAATCAAAAGCAATTGATCAATACTTATATCATGATCCAAGACTTTCTACAAGAACTTTGATAATTAAATTGTTAAAAAATAAATACTAAAGTATCTTATATAACAATTTCAAGACATTTAGCAAACTTGGGTTATAAAAATAATCCATCTTTAGAAACTCCTATGCTTACTACTGCTCATAAAGAAGCTTATATTATTTGAGCAAATAAATATCTTAATATAATTAAAAAAAGATCTTATTTTCTAATGAAACAGCATTTCAACTATTCAAAAATATAATTATTCAATAATATAAAAATTCAAGACCAGTCAAAGAATATTTAAAGATTGTACTAAAATTTTTGCATAGGAAGGATTTTGTATAAAAGAAAAAACTTTTTTTTTTTGTTTTAAAAAAATTATGAATGCAAATTTTTATGTTAATATTTTGCAAAAACACAAATTAGAAATCATTGAATTGCTTAAAAATAATTTTTATTTTTAGTATAATAATAATCCCAAATATACAAGCAAAATTGCTAAAGCATTTGTTGATGAAAATTTTTTTAAAGTTTTAAATTAGCCTTTTAATAGTCCAGACTTAAATTTTATTGAAAATCTTTGGACTATTATTAAAAGAAATATAGAAATAAGAAAACTCTTTTCATTAATTCTCTGACCACACACAAAAAAGATGTTCGCAAGAAGTTTCTATACTTCTTTGCTAATAAAGTTTTAATATTTTCATTAAAACAACTTGAAGTATAACTTCAAGAGTTGCTTTTACCTTTTCTCTTTTGTTTACAAATTTTTTCCCTCAAAAACTTGACTTCAAGTAACCAAGAAAAGTCTAACATCTTTGATATCAATGGCAAGAAAGTTTCTAAAGGAAGAAGAACTGATTGTGAAGTACCTAAAGGTCTATTTAATCTTTGAAGCGAGAGATATATAGAGATTTTGATAACAGAAGGGCTTATTTTTCCCCTTCCAGTTACTTATAAGTCTCTTAGAGCTATCGCTTTCATGGTTTTATTAATATAAAATTAATAATTAATTCTTTCACCTTACTTTTCAATTATCATTTCACATTTCTCTTTCATTAAATCTATAAAATTATTTAAAACCTTATTAGAAATTTTATCACATTCTTCTATTATAAACTATTTTAATTCTAAAATATTTTTAGGTAATTACATTTCTATATATATTTTTTTTTTTTTTTTTTTAATCCACAATCATGCCACAATGGTGTATCTTTATTGAAAAATTGAAATGAATTTATAATATTTTATAGACTTTTACAAAGTGACTAACTTGGCTTCATACAAAAGTACTTTAAGTCAGATTTTGGGAACAATATTTTACTCCTCTAATAGATTGGTAATAACATCTATCTACCAGAATCATTGTCAACAATTTGTTACTATTGATTGTCCAAAAATCAATGAATTGCTAAGTTAAAAAAAAAAAAGAAGAAAAATAATTGGGGAAAGAGAACAATCCAAGGCTCATCAAAAAATCCAAAAATAAAAACAATCTCTTCTCAAAAAAGATTTGCCTGATTGAAATTGTCTTTTTGTTTTACTTGAACCTTAGAAGAAATCTTCTTTTTCACCACCTGCAACATTGGACGAATCAATCCAACTGGTCTTTTATTTAAGTGAGCATCAGATTGAGATATCTCAAGGAAAGTATTTAGATTTCAGCTTTTTTCCATTAAAGCTTTGTTATCATTTGAGGAACTTAGGTAAAAGATGGGAGTTTGCAATCCACATTACCTATCACTCAGTCTTTTGATGTCATAGAAGTTTTTATTGAGGGACTTGAGCTTTTTGAGTGCAAACATTTTCAGTACCTTCTTTCCAATTACCAATAATGTTATTGGAACATGTGAATGTGACCAATAGAAGCTTGTTTACATTCCAAA